GTCAATTGGAAGAAATTGTTCGATCAAATGTGTTCGATATTTTGATTCACTTTTTTTTTACGAGTTTTCAATGTCGTCGATGATTTTTTTTCCTAATCAAATGATATATTTATCTTAATTATTTTATTATCTGGATTTATTTCTTGATCGTGAACGAAAAAAATGTCGAACGGAAAAAATTTTTTAATTCAAAGTATTTTAATATTTTGATTTTAATACGACTTATTTTTTTTAATGTCATTACTTTTTCCTCTTTCTCCTTTTTTTTTTTTTGAGTTTTCAAGATCGTCGATGATATTTCCAATTAATCGATATATTTTTCTTAATTCTTCTATTATCCTCATTGTTATCGATCATACGAATATGAATCGTCAAATGTAAGAAATTATTTGATTGAATGAATTCGATATTTTCATTGAATTTTTTTAACGTCATTTTCTTTCGAATTTTCAATTTAATCGAAGTTAATCCTAATTAATCGATATATTTTTCAATTATCTTCATTATTTTCCATTAGACAAAGAAATGTCAGAGGAAGAAACATTTTAATTCAAAAACAATTAATATCTCGATTGATACACAATTTTTTTTCAATTCTTTTCAAGATCATCGATGTTTCATTGACATTAAAATGATCTTGAAAATTTCAGTAAGAATATATAAGATAGTAAGATTATATAATATCCGAAAGATCATCATCATTATTATTATCATCATTATCATTATCATTATCATTATCATTATCTATTATCATTATCTATTATCATTATCATCATCGTTGTCATCATCGTCGTCGTTGTTATCGTCGTCGTTATTATCGTATACACGAGGAAAATGCGTTAGCCTTTATCATCCAATCATCGTCGATCACAAAGTGTCGATCTCAACGAGCCCATGAGTAATCTTGATCCTTGTATCACGGTAAAATAAGTTTCATCGGTGCACAACATAACTGTCATTATCGATGACTCTACGATGGTTCTTGTCATTGTGATTGAAGTAAACATACATACATATATATACATACATACATAAATATGTGTGTGTATGTGTATGTGTATGTGTGTGTGTGTATAACTTTAATGTTTATCAGAATATAAATTTTGTATTAAAGATGGTATCACAATGTTCAATAATCTCTGTCTATTCATTTATACTCGAAATTTTATATATATATATATTTTGGTATTCTTCAACTTATATATATAATTTATACATATATATATATACATATATATATATATATATATATATATATATATTTTCTTTATATATCTTTTAACTTATATATACACAAACATATATATATACATAATTCATTATATACTGTATATAAATATTATATACATATATATATATACATAAATACATACACACACACATATACGCATATATATATAATATAATGTAAATAGTATATATATATATATTCTTTATATATCTTTTAATTTATACATACACAAACACATATACACATATACATATATATACATAATTCATTATATACTGTATATATATATATATATATATATATATATATATATATATATATATGCATATGAATATATATATATACATAAATACATACACACACACATATACGCATATATATATATATATAATATAATGTAAATAGTAAATGTAGTATAATGTAAATAGTAATGTAAATAGTGTAAATAGTATAACTTGAAGAATATCAAAAATTTTCTTTTTCTCATGTAAGAAACTCGTTTCGTAGCGACGGTAAGCGAGGTACGATAATGTTTTAACAAATTGGCCATACTATTTTGCAACTTCTATTAGCATTATTTTGCATCGTGAAACGAGATTAAAGTAGAAAAGGAAAGAGGTAAAGGGAAAAACTAAAAGAAAAAAAAAAAAAGAAAAAAAGAAAGAAAAGAAAAGAAAAAAAGAAAAGAAACGAACGGAAAAAAACGAAATAAGAGTGACTGAAAGAGATAGATGGGTACATAGATAGATAAGTGGACAGAGATAGACGTAGAGATAGAAAGAGAGAGATAAAGAGAGAAAGAGAGAGATAAAGAGAGAGAGAGAGAGAGAGAGAGAGAGAGAGAGAGAGAATAAGGGAGTTAATGCAGCCCTGGTAAAAAAGATTTCTCCTTCCCTCGGATAATTGGGCACTGAGAATGCGGCCTCTCTCTCTCTCTCTCTCTCTTTCCCTCTCTCCCCCTCTCTCTCCCTCTCTTTCTCTCTTCATTCGATCCAAGTCGAAACTCCGAGTAAAATCGTACACACGGTCGCTTACGGTGCGCTTGTATACGTAACGAGATAATTAATGTACGCCGATGGAATTAGCCGATTTACATGAGAGGCGAGCGTGCGCCTTGACCGAGACTCCAAAGACGCGAAACGAAGAGGTAGACGAAGAAGAAGGAAGAATAAAAACGATGAAAAACGAAAGAAGAAGAAGAAGAAGAAGAAGAAGAAGAAGAAGAAGAAGAAGAAGAAGAAGAAGAAGACGAAGAAGAAGAAGGAAGAATATAAGAAGGGAAGAAGAAGAGGAGGAGAGGAAGAGGTGCGCTGTGCGGGTGTCGGCACGGTCGTTTAACTTGCGTGTGCAAAACAAATGGCTTTGCCATTCCTTCGAGAGATCGTTTTACATTCGATTGGACGAGTGGCGATCTACGAGTTCTCCCTACACGATCTAGATAACTATTTATATATACGATAATCTTGAGATCTCGAAGAAAAGATGCTAGTCTTTTCTCTCTCTCTCTCTCTCTCTCTCTCTTTTTTTTTTCTTTTTTTCCTTTATTCGCGATATGAACAATTATCGTGATGATAAGGACAATAATCGGGGGTGGGAAAAAAGAAATAAAGAAGAAAAAGGAAAACAAAATAAAAATCCAAAAGAAAAGAAACAATGGATCGACATGATTCCATGCCTATCGGAAGATCGAATTTTATTTTATTTTATTTTATTTTTTTTTTTTTTTTTTTTTTTTTTAAACCTTCCAATCGTAACTTTGAAATTGTGAATTTTTTAATAACTTCCCTCCTCCTTCACGTTCATCTCTTTTCACAAGGAAGAATTCGAAATGGCATAACGAATGATTTTTTCTTTTCCTTTCTTTCTTCCTTTCTTTTATTTTTTTTTCTTTCTTTTTTTTTTCAATTTTCTACTTTTCTTTTTTTCTCTTTTCTTTTTCTTTCTTTCTTTTTTTTTTTTTTTCTTATATACGATCGACAAAAGCATAAAATCCATTTTAGGTAATTCAATCGTTTAACTTTCCGTACTATCGTATGTTGTCCTTACCAAAGGGCTCGTAGGTATCCACCTACCTATGTACCTATGGCGGCGGCAGCAGCCCTACGGTGTTTGTCGCGAGCCGCTAACGAGCATGGACCGTTCTCTCTCTCTCTCTCTCTCTCTCTCTCTCTCTCTCTCTCTCTCTTTCTCTTACACACCCACGGTCACCGTGCTTCTCTTTCTCTTTCTCTTTCTCTTTCTTGGCCCTCGCGCATCCTGGCTTACATAAGTCTTATAAAGAGCAAAGCGGTGGACCACACACATCTGATCCTATCTGCGGACTTCTCTGTGCGCTTCGTTTGCCCTTACCACTCTTTCCTTCCTTCCTTCTTTCCTTCCTTCCTTCCTTCCTTCCTTCTTTCCTTTCTTCCTTCTTTCTTTATTTCTTTCTTTCTTTCTTTACAGTAACCTCGACAAACTCTCTATTTCCTTTTTTTTCTGTCTTTTCTTTTTTTTTTTATTTTTTTCCCTTTTTTTCTTGTTTCCTTTTCTTTTTCTTTGCTTTTATTATTCTTCTCTCTCTCTCTCTCTCTCTCTCTCTCTCTCTCTCTCTCTCTCTCTCACTCACTCTCTTTCTCTGTTTGTCTATCTCTTTTTCTCTTTATTTCTTTCTCTTTGCCTCGCCTCAACATCACATGTCAGATGTCTATCTTATAATTATATGTATACATATATATATATATATATATATATATATATATATATATATATATATATGTGTTGGATGATATAATATTTACACAGTGTTAACGTCAATAATAATCGGCCATATTTATATTAATTTTTGATTTATCGATGATGAAATATTATTATCACGTATTTTTAATCTTTACTCATTAACACACGTGATGATATGAAATTGTACAGAGATGTGTTTTTACAAATCTAATTGAAAATACGTTTTGTTAATTGTTAATTGATTATAAACGAAAGAAAAATAGTAATTCCTTTTTATGGTTTTTTTTTCTTTTCTTTCGTTTCGTTTTGTTGTTCTTTTTGTTTAGGTTTCTTGATCTTTTCTTTCCTTTTCTCTCTCTCCCTCTTTTATTTATTTTTTTTTTTTATCATAATGGTATTAATACTTCGCTAATTATGAATCATAAGGATCTTTATTGTTTATTATCATTCGTTATTGTTTTCGAAAATATTTCTGTAATATCGTAAATTTCTATACAATTTGTCTAATATTTAAATAGATTAGAAAATTAATTTACATTAAATGATAATTAAAAATTATAATAATCATTTTTGTATTATTATTGAATTATAATTTTACTCTTGACTCTGTTTTATCTAAACAACTCTTTGTTTAGCAAAAAAAAAAGAATTAAAAAAAAAAGAAAGAAAATAATTATCGTCAATTATCTTGATCAAGTATCTGAATAAAGATAGTTTAAATTATTATCTTAACTTTATCTTCTCTTTCATATAATTGATCTTAATTAAATATAGATACATGAGATATCAGAACACATATACACTGATCAAATATATATATATATATGTATATATATATATAAATATTATATTATATTAAATATATTGTATTCATTATAATAAATTATTATAATGATATTATCATATATATATATGATTTCAATTGTATTAATTAATTAATTATATTTATATATTTTAATATATAATAAATATATAAATATAATTTAATATATAATAAATATATAATAAGTCATATAATTTATATGATTCAATTTTTTTAAAAACTACTTACCCCATTCTGCGATGAGACAATGAACAATCAATCGAACCGAGAACAAAAAAGATAAAAAAATTTTTTTTTTCATATCAAACATTCCATACCAAAAAGATAATTATAAACATATTCATCATAAACGTAATATATATGATATAAAAAAAATTTCATATTATAAAACATACATTTAATATTTATATATATATTCAAAGATATTCACCGTGGTTACGTTCACGTCCTTGATGTAGTCCCTGTACGTGCCAGCAATCATTTTGACGATGTTCTCGTCGCCATGTTTCGCGGCCCAATGCAAAGCTGTCTGTAACAAAGATAATGAGGGAAAAGGATTAGAATCGTGGTTGGTCCAAGCTAGAGATAAATGCGTGCCTTGCTAGAGAACGATGATTTTTCAAAACGAAGTAAGCAAGGAAGAGGTAAGGGAACAAGGGTCGGGTGGACAGGGATTGAGGGAAATGGCTACGATGATGGTAGCAGTGGTGATGGTGGTGGTAGCGATGATGATGATGATACTGTTGATGATGATGGTAATGGTGATGATGATGATGATGATGATGTTGGAGACAGTGGTATTGGTAGAAGTAGGTGGTGAACGTGTATTCAGGAATGAATTCTTTTTTTTTTTTTTTTTCGAAAGAAACTTCGAGAACTCGAAAGTCGAGCGTCGGTGGCCCAGCGTGTAGACAAGACGCGAGCAGCTGTAGCGTATTTTCAGAAAGGGACACGTGAGACACGTTGAAATATTTGCGAATTAACCACGTCTAGCATCCCGACGGACCGGGATGAATGGCGACGTCGTACGGCACTCCGAGAGAAGGAAGATACACTTTGAGAGTAGTCGATTACAGTGTTAAATAAGACAGAGGAATGAGAAGGAGTTGGGTTAGGACGGATGGGCGGGGAGGGGGTGGGGTAGGGGTAAAGGGGGAAGGAACGAGCGAAGTGGGAGGATGGGGTGGGATGGGGTTAAAGAAAGAGAAAAACAGAGCGAGAGAGAGAGAGAGAGAGATAGGTGGTTGAAAAGGTATAGAGGAAGAGGAGGAGTAAGAAGAAAAAATAAAAAGAAAAAAAATGAAAAACAAAGAAGGAACCAAAAAAAAAAATATATATATAACCGTGGATTCTCGAACAAGCCAGAAGTCGAATTTGGCCGTGCTCAAATTACTCTCTTAATTCGTGTGACTTCCATTGAAAGATCTTTCAAGTTGAAAAGACGTATAGGTATGTAAATTCTTGGCATGATTCCGAACGAAGATTAAGATATATATATTCCTTTTTTAATTTTTGAATTTTTTTTTCTACTGAAAGAAGGGAGAAAGGCGGAAGTAGAGAGAGGGGGAGGAGAAAGAAACAAAAACAGACAGAGAGAGAGAGAGAGAGAGAGAGAGAGAGAGAGAGAGAGGATTAGGAAGGTATAGGAAAGAGAAAAAAAGAAAAGTGATAATAAAAAAAAGAAAAAGAAAGAAAATATAATAAAATGAAAATAACTTTTGGATCATCGAACGAGCCAGAAGTCGAATTTGTGCGTCTGCTCAAATTACTCTTTTTAATTCGAATGACTCCATTGAGAGATATTTCAAGTTGGAAAGAGGCGTATAGATACGTAAATTCTTGGCACGAATCCGGACGAAGATTAAGAAGATATATATATATATATATATATATATATATATATATATATGTATGTATACATGTGTATATATATATTATTAAGAATAAATAATTATTTAATAATTTATATATATTATTAAAAAAATTGTTTATTTCTCTTTCTTTCTTTTTTTTTTTTTTTTTTTTTTTTTTATTGGAACGGTCAAATAATCCCTTGTTATTTACTTCTGTGTTATAATGCGAATAAAATTATTTCAGAGATCGATCTACGTTCGTTATATAAACATTTAAGAAAAAAAAATATGTACATATATAATAATAATAATAATAATAATAAAATTTCAATCATACATTGGAAGAGATTTGATAAGGAGGATAGTGAGAGACGAATGAAGAAGGGGTTGGGGCGGGAGTGAGCGAGAGAATCACGGATAAGGTAACGTTAAGTTATCAAATTAAAAAAGAACGAAGGGAAAGAAAAAGAAAAAGAAAAAGAAAAAGAAAAAGAAATAGAAAAAGAAATAGAAAAAGAAAAGGAAAAACGAACGAACGAACGAACGAACGAACGAACGAACGAACGAACGAACAAACAAACAAGGAAATAAAAAAAGAAAAAGAAAAAGAAAAGAAAAAAAGAAACGTTAATCAAGATAGATATTCTCTCTTTTCGCTTACACGAAGGAGGAGGTGAGGTTGAAAGGGGTCAACTTGCTTGCTTGCTTGCTTGTGGAGGAGGAGGTGGAAGAGGAGGAGGAAGAGGAGGAGGAGGAGGAGGAGGAGGAGAAGGAGCAGAGTGCGAGAGAGGAGAAAAGGGTGTGAGCAAGGGGGGAAGAGGGGGATGGTGGTGTCCCAACGTTATACAACGTTGACGTGAATATGATATCACGTTCGTTGGAATGAGGGTAACGAAGAAACGTAACGCGTAATGCGGAAAGACGAGAGAAAGAGGATAACCATACAGTCCGTGGTTGAATCCACGGAGACATGCGTTTTAATTTTCCCAAAGTCGGCAAACCGCTATAGCGCTAACGTCGTCGACGCGGACGACGAGGGAGAACGCGAGCAGCAACGTCCAAGGCTAGATTAAAACGAGTGTCCAGTCTCTCTCTCTCTCTCTCTCTCTCTTTCTCTCTTGTTCTCTTTCTCTCCAGATTCATGCGGGGGCGTCATAGAAAGCAAGCGTATGGACGAGGGTCCGACGACGGCGGCGGCGTGTGCGGACTGCGCATGCTCGCGAATGCTATACGTTCTGGACCCTCTGTAACGATGGAGACAACCTGCAGGCAAGCTCATTAGCGCTGGAAAAACTCATCCTAACGAGGCTACGTACCTAATGACGAGAATCTCGCGCGCGAGCTCTTTCTCTCTCTCTCTCTCTCTCTCTCTCTCTCTCTCTTTCTCTCTTTTTCTCTTTCTTTTTCCCTCTTTTTTTTTTTTCAACCTCACTTACATACTCACTCTCACGTATGTATGAACGTGTTTGCACGTTTTCACGTACAGTATAATTCGTGTTTGTGAGTTTAATCCCTTCCTCAATTCTTTTTTCTTTTTCTCTATCTCTCTCTCTCTCTCTCTCTCTCTCTCTCTCTCTCTTTCTCTCCATATCGTCAACCCATTCCTCACTTCCATCCCCTCATTATACTTCCTCACCCACAGAATCGTCGTCGCTTTCTATCTACGACTTTGGCCCTCTATTCACTGTTAACGGTTTATATACATATACATATATATATATATATATATACATATATACATAGATATATATATATATCTACTGTAAATTAACGAGCATCGAGGATTGGTAGAATATACTACGATGTACATACTTGATACGAGATATTAGAGGCCACGTGGCTGACCAATATCATCTCGACTTCGATGAACGGGACATTTTCTTCTTCGAAGTACGAGATTACAACTTACAACCCGTTAGAATCGATTTCATGTATATATATATATATATATATATATATATATATATATATATATATGTGTGTGTGTGTGTGTGTGTGTATGTGTGTATCGATATCAATAAAAGTTTGGATTAAAGTTAATTCTTTTAAAATCATCCCTACTGTTAATATATTGTGTATATATATATATATATATAGGGGTACCGGAAAGTAATGCTGTTTTCTTAAATTAAATTCAAACGAATAAATTTTTTAACAAGTTTTTATTTTTAATCACAATCAAATATCGCGCAGAAACGACATTACTTTCCGGTCCACCTAATATATACCTTTTCTTTTTTTTTTTTTTTTATATGCATCTATGTTGTCTTCTCGATTACAATAAGTAAATATGATTTTAAAATTGAAATAATGTGACAAGGATGTGTCGTTAAGTTAAATTCGAAATTTTATTGATATTAATTTAAAATTGTCAGATAATAAGAATAATATATAATTGTCAATTAATTTTGAATATTTGACATTTGACATTGTATTAGGATTAAAAATAAAATATTCTCAGTTAAATGGTAAAGAAATTAAATAAAGTTATTACCATTTCGAAGAATCGAAGAATTTACGAAACAATGTACCAGAATATTTTCTTTTTTTTTTTTTCTTTTTTTTTTTTTATTTATTTATTTTCATGACACTAAGTAAATAGTACGATAAGTTAGGCAAACAAAAAGAAAAACAAGGCAAAGCTGTTCCTATCAAAAAAAAAAAATAAAAAAATAAAAAAAAAAAAATAAAAAGAAGTGCCCATAAACGTGTCTACAATTGAAATAGTAAATATTTAAAAATAACATTTGTGTCGTTCGCTTTTTCTCGTCCGATTAAAAAATTATACATTTTAGAATAACATTTTTCATCATTTCATTATTAAATCATTAAATGAATTAATAATTTAAAAGTTATTAATTAATTAATTAATTAATACATTTCGAATTAATTCCATTTTATTTCATCTATTAATTAATTGTTTCATAATAATAATGAATTAATAGATTTTCAATTAACTCTATATTATTTTATTTATTAATTGATTGTTTCATCGTATTAATTAATTAATATATTTTTCATTAATTTTAATTTCCTCGAAATTTTTTCATTTGAAATATCCTTATTAAATTCCGATGAATTCGAGGAGTACAATGACTACGTTGAAAATGAAAGATAGATCAGATGTAAAAACTAGAGCGAGATAGAGAGAGGAGAGACAGATAAATAGATACATAGATAGATACATAGATAGATAAATAGATAGATAGATAGACAGAGAGAGAGAGAGAGAATGAGAGAGAGAGAGAGAAAGAGAGAGAGAGAAAGAAAGAAATCAAACGACGCATAGTACAATCTCAAGGTAACAACTCGAATGCATCAAAGCCTCACCCGCGAGTCTTAACGAGTACACAACCGTGTCGTCGTTGGGAGTACACTAATTACGGCCGATTAAGAAAGACGGTGGTCTCAGCAACGTCCAAACGACTAGTTTTCTCTCTCTCTCTCTCTCTCTCTCTCTCTCTCTCTCTTTCACCCTTCCTTTCTCTCTATCTTTCTCTTTCTCTCAGTGAGCGGTATGATGGTGGAACATACAACACCGGAAACGCAGACTAAGAAATAGGAAAAAATTCATGGACGACGAGAGAACAGGGACGTCGAGGGTAATCGGATTAATGCGAAGTTACCATGAAAGACGCGCTAGGATATCTCATGGTGGGTTACACGAAATGAATTT